CTTATTGGAGTTATTGCTGCCTTTTTATGAGGTGGAAGGAGTCGATCATTCTGCTCTTGCCTCTGGGATTAACAAGACATTTTATATTTTCAGTTGTTTTTTGTTTTGTTTGTTTTTTCAAGACCATTCTCTGAAAAACCTAGAGATGGTTTCATGGGAAAGTCCAAGTAGATCAGCAGTGTGGCACCATCTGACAACAATAATCACTTAAATCCTGTTTTTTTTATTTTATTTTGATGCTAGATGTGAAATGCAGCAGGTCATCATGACCATCTCTACACTCATAAAAAAAGTTTTTTTTTTAAAAAGCGCCTTTTGATGTACACATTAGATAGCTGGTTTAACGAGCAGTTCAACAGGTGTACCTAACAAAGTGAGTGTATAAATTTTATCTATAAATTATGTTTTCTTGCTTAACTAATCTGAGACTTTCATTTCTTTCCTCTTTTATTTAAGCTCTGATGTTGTGTGGGAATTCAAACCTAAGAAGAAGAGTCGATGGAAGCCTCTGACCATTAAAGAAGCTGAAGTTATGGAGGACAAGTTCAAAGACTACCTGGAATCTGGGGCCGTAGACAAGGAAATTTTCGATCTGGAAAACGGCTTTCAGGTTAAATATTGCAATTATTTTTATTCTGTCATATGAAAATGGTGGATAAAAGCAAATAAAAAATAGTTGGTTTTAGTTTATCCACATAGCATGTAAACTCGTTCATAAAACTGAATTTGAAATTGCACATGATAATGGGATAATTATCATTATTGTTGAATTTTTTTGTCATTGTCTCCCAGGTGTGCTTTAATCCCACTGGCCAGGACATGCAGATAATGAAGCCATGTGATGCTCCTCTTAGGAGGCACTTCCTGCCGGGTGTGAAGGTGGAGTACAGCATTTCACCGCGACAGAGCGCCTATCGTATCCAAGTTCACCGGATACAGGTGAAAAAATGTATTAAATTTACAATAATTATTGAAAAAGAAGATCAAGCAAGTTAGCTAAAGGCTTTTCTTAATTGCATTTTCGTAGCTGTGTAGCTCTGTTTGGTCTGTGCACTAAACAGACCCACATCCTTTCCTTCTACAGATCCAGAATCAGCTACCCGGGGCCATCTTTCCTTACGTTTTTTACCCCGTAAAACTGCCAAAGTCTGTCGCCATGGAGACAGGTCTGTTAATGCAGGTTTTTTGTTATCTGTTTATTTACAATAATAGACTATTTTAGCTCTTTCGTCTTTATTATCATACTCTGTACATTTTTTTCCACAGAACCCAAACCTCTAACTGATATCAGCATTGTTACCCGAGCAGCGGGGCACTCTAATATCTCACGCATCAAGTAATTGTTTTTCTTTTCTTTTCTCACTTTCTCCTCAAATTATATTTTTCTAGCTGATATTCATTGTTATTGTATATGGAGGGCAGGATCATAATCTACCAGACAAAAAAATATATTATTTGTCCTTTTTAAGACAAATAATATATTTGGGTGAGCTGAAATCTTACAATTCTCTGTTAACCGAAAGTTTAACTCCTGAAATTTGCTCTCATTTGTACTCGTCTAAGTCCTGATTTCTGTTCGCCTCAGGTACTTTATGGTTTTAATTCAGGAGATGGATCTAAAACTTGATCTGGGCTTCCTGTACGCCATCCTGGACCTGTTCTCCCCAGAGAACGACAGCATCACGAGCGCAGAACAGGAGGTCTGCTACACGCATTGACACACACAACATTACCTTTCTGTTCAGAATGTGTTATGATTATTCAGTTAGTCAGTAATTCAGTTAACTCAACAGCTGTTGTGCCTTTCCCCTGATGCTGTAGGTGGAACTGTTTGAAAAGGACATAAC